CTCCACCTCCATCATTCCCCCTTGAACCGTGCCTCTCCCAGCCCCTGGCCCCAGCCTGGCTCCCCTGGGTGGGGAGGGGAACCACAGCTTTTGTGCCCTACTGCTCCGAAGCTTGCCGGGCATCCAGGCTGGCCCTTGCCACTCGCATGCTCTGCGGCGTGTGGTACAGTGGGTCCCTCCCATCTCATCAGACCCTGCAAAGTTAGGAGACCCCTGTTTCTGGCCAAGCAGCTGGCTGGGTGTCCTGCTGCCACCAGCTGATGGAGGCCGGTGCTGGCCGTGTTGTTTGCAGAAGTCACCACCACGCCGTGCAACGTGAACACGCAGTGCCCGGACGGCGGCTACTGCATGGAGTATGGTGGGAGCTACCTCTGCGTCTGTCACACCGACTACGGCACCAACCACAGTAAGTCTCATCCGTGGGGATGCGGGACCAGCCCTGGGGGGGGACATGCAACGGGGGCCAGGGGGTTGAGGAGGGGATACCGTCATCAACCGGGGCATAGCCCTCACACGCCTGGTCGTTATGTCCTCGGTGATGCCCTGGGTTTGGCTTTGCAGCGATGCCATCCCCCTGTGACTCGGAGCCCTGCATGAACGGGGGGTCCTGCGAGGTTCAAGATGACTCGTACACCTGTGAGTGTCCTCGAGGCTTCCTTGGCAAGCACTGCGAGAAAGGTACCTACATGTGGAGCTCCCTGCCAGCCCCAGGACCTGTGGAGAAGAGCTTGGACCCTTGTGGGAGATGAGTGGCTGCTTGCTGAGCTGCAGCTGGAAGTGGGTGCAGGTTATCCCATCCCATCCTGGAGGGTGGAGGGAGGATTGCATGGCTCACTTCACGGCCCCTGACAGCAACTGATCCATTTGTGTTTCCTGCACAACACCATCAGTGTTGGAGGTTTTTGGTTTTGGTTTTTTTTTTCACATGCCTGAGCTTCTGGCCTCAGGATCAGGGGCCGGTCCCCTGGCATTGTGTGCCTGTGGCCCCCCGCTTTCCCACAACAAATGGATTGGTGGGGGGTGCCGACGGGAGGCCGTGGGTCTTGGGGTGCTGGCAAGCAGTGGGTGATCCTCCGCTCTCGGCGCTCTCTCCGCAGCGAAACCACGGCTCTGCAGTACGGGGCCCTGTCGCAACGGGGGTACCTGCAGGGAAGCGGATGGCGAGTACACCCGCACCCGCCCCCACCCCCGCGAGATCGGTACGGCCCCACGGCCCCCCCACCTGGGGAGGAGAGCTGGCAGTCATCCTGCTCGCTGCTCAACTCCCGCCTGCCCTCTGCCCCCAGGTAAACCAGACCCCTGCGCCTCAGGCCCCTGCCAGAACGGCCCAGAACGGGGGCACCTGCTTCCACTACATCGGCAAGTACAAGTGCGACTGCCCACCGGGCTACGCTGGCCGGCACTGCGAGATTGGTAAGTGTGAGCAGGGCATGTTGGTGCCAGGGGCTACCCAGGGATTTTTTTTTGCTGATGGCCACGGCGGCAGCAAGCGAGCCTTGCTGCTTGCTTTGAACCCCCTTCCCCATCATTTGAAGTGCTTCGACCCTTCCTTGTGCCCTGCCAGAGGGGGAAAGGGGATGGCTCTGGTTTCTGGGCTCTGGCAGCTCCACAGCAGTTGCTCTTTGCTCCGCGTTTCTTCTAGTGCCCTCCCCGTGCTTCCTCAGCCCCTGTGAGAACGGTGCTACCTGTGAGGACCTCGGCGGGGGCTACGTTTGGCTACGTTTGCCCCTGCCCCATGGGCTACGTAGGGAAGCACTGCCAGTCTGGTAAGGGTCTTGTGCTGCCCCTGCCAACCGAGGGCTCGGGGTGCCTCTGTGGGCCCTGCTCACCCCCCCGCCCCCCATCTCTACCCAGAGGTCGACTGTGGCATCCCCAGCGAGGTGAAACACGCCCAGGCCTCTTTCAACTCTACCAAGGTGGGCTCCCTGGCTGAATACCAGTGTGAGCTGGGCTACGCACTCAGTCAGCACAACCATCCCCGTGTCTGCCGCTTGCCAGGTGTCTGGAGCGACCCCCCCGAATGCGATGGTGAGGAGCACTGGGGAGCGGCTGAGCCCTGGGGCACCGTCCCGGTGGGCTCTGGTCACGACCATGGCT